GCGCCGGGCGCGGCGTCGGGGTCGGGCGGCGCGTGGCTCGCCTCTGACGTCACTTCCCCTTTAGAGGCGGAGGCCTGCGGCTCCCCGCCCCCCCAACTTCCCTCCGCCGCCGCCGCCCCTGCGCCGCCGGGCGTGCGCTCCCCCTGCCCTGCCGGCCCGCCCTGCGGGCGCTGCGGGCCGCCGCCCGGCGTAAGCAGCGCTGTTGCCGCCGCCGTGGCGGGCGGCGCGGGCGCGGGCTCTGGGGGTGGCAGAATGCGGCCCTCCTTGTCCCTGTTGTCGAACAGATAACGAAACTCCCTGCGACAAGGGAGCACATAGGGGATAGGGGTTCCGACGCGTGCGTTGGGCCATGCCGCCGCTGCTGTCCGCGCGCTTATCAACACTGCTGCTGCTTTGCTGCGTCCGCTGCTGCCTTGGGCGCTGCCGTGAGTGATAGTTGCCCAGAACCAGTCCGTCCACAACACAGTGGCCCTTGGCCTACGACCTCATTAGGGGCCAACCGAATGCCCTTTCGCGCCCCCAACCCCAGCACAATCGGCAAGACGGGCCACCACGTACCCTCAACCCAGCGCCCTGCCCCCACGGTCTCAGCAGCCCACCCTCCCAGCAGCCCGCACTCCAGCACGTGCGCCATGGCACGCATCTCCCCCCGCCCGCCCGGCTCGCCAGGGCGCCGCCCGCGCCCGCACGCCGGCCCCGGCGCACCCACCTGCTCTCGCGTATGAGTCCCTCGAGCTCCCGCTTGGGGGCCGGCGCAAACACTTCGTGGCGGTAGGTCACGGCCGCCTTCATGAGGGCCCTCACACCCTCCATGTTGTGCGTCTTGCCATAGCTGGGAGGGGAGGGGCCGGTGTTCGCGCGGCGTGGGTGGTCGCATGCGTGTGGTGCGTTGCGCGTGTGTCACAGAGTGCGCACGTGCATTGTATGTGCGTCTATGTCTGTGCGCGTGCACAAGTGTGCGTGCGTGCACGTGCGTCACACGACTTCCAAAGCTAGGAGCGGCAGGGCGGCGCAATATGTGTTCAAGTTGTGCGTGAGTGTTTAAGTGCATGCTCGTGCGCATATGTGTGTGTGTGTGTGTGTGAGAGAAAGAGAGAGAGAGAGAGAGAGAGAGAGAGAGAGAGAGAGAGAGAGAGCAAGAGAGAGGGAAAGAGTGTGTATGTGCAGGTCTGTGTGTGCATGTGTGTTCTCTGTTGTGTGTGCGTGCCGCCCTCAACCCACGCAGCGTCGTCCGCGCAGCGGCCAGGGCGCTGCTCACCCAGTGCCGCACAGCACGAGCACGTGCTTCAGGCCGTCGAATATGCGGCGGGAGAACTCGGCACAGGGCGGGTGCAGCGCGATGTCCTCGTGCCGCTTGCGCTGCGGGACGCGTGGTGCGGCGCAGCAGCGCGCGCGCAGTGTCGGGGAACAAACAAGCGTGATGAGCGAGTGGCAGGAAGGGTGTCTACATCGGCGTCCAAACTGACGCCAGGGCCGACCCGAGGCACTGCCAGCGGGCCCCCGCAGCTGGCTCCGCCGCGAGCCGGCGGAGCCGACCGCTTTGCTGCCAAAGCTGCAGCGGCCCGCAGGCATCCCCAGTGATTCTGAAAGCCGCTCTGGCTGGCGCTGCCGGGTGCGGCTGCCCCAAGCATCCGGCCTCTGCAGACCCGGCCAGCCGCGGGCGGCGGCGCAACGCAAAGCTAGCCCCGCCACGGGCCGACAGGGCCCCGGCCCGCCGCTGCTGGACGCCGCGCCTGACCGACTGACCGCTGCTGTCGCGCAGCGGCTGCCGCGAGCGCGGCTGCGCGTGGGGGGCCTGCATCCGACAGGGTTTTGCAAGCCAGGGTGACAGCTGGGCCTCACCCTGACTTTCCTCAGCAGCTTGTCCAGCTTCTTGATGCAGGACTTGAGGTCAGAGCACGACGCGTCAAAGTTGCTGTGGTGTGTGTGTGTGTGTGTGTGTGTGTGTGTGTGTGTGTGTGTGTGTACGTGCACGCGACTACTTCTCGCTCGACTGTTTCACACCCCGCCTGTGTGGAGTGTGGAAAGCTTCGCCCGGCGCAGCCCTCAGCGTGTGGCGCAAAGCCCAGCGTGCGCCTTACAAGCGCATGTCGCCAGCGCCCTGCCACTGCGCTCGGCTGCGGTCGCTCGCCAGCCGGCAACCCCGCACCGCTCCCTGTCCGCCCGCCACCCAGCCCAACGCACGCGCCGCCGCGGCCCCAGACACCCGCGCTGCGCCCGCCCACCTGCGCACTTCCTGGAACGTCATCTTTGCTGTCATCTTGGTCAGATCACTCGTCAGCTCCGCCCTCTCCTTCTCGCCCTTCTCCCGCTCCGCCTTCTCCTTGTTCTCCTCCTTGTCTTTCAACTCCTTGGCCTCCCTCTCTTTCGCCTCATTATCCTTGTCCTTCTCCTTGTCCTTTTCTCTCTCTTTCTCCCGCTCCCGCTTGGCCCCGCCGCCGCCGCCGCTGCCACTGCCGCCGCGTCCGCCGCGCGCGTCGGCGCCGAGAGGGGGCCCCGGCGCGACCGGCGGCTCGGGAAGGTGGCCGGGCAGCGGGCCGCCGCGGAACGCGCCCGGATGCGGCATCGGCGG